TCAGTACTACATCATGAGTCTGAGGTACGCATCAGATGACTAAGGTCAGAGAAATACAGATTTTCGCGCATGGCAACAATCGTAGATCTCGCTATAATTCAACTTCTTTCGCACAGCGCTGCTTATTGGCCTGGCCCGGGCATCAGGCGTCCTTGTGATGTTGGGCCATGCGTGAGGTTGAGGCGGAAACGTGGACGTAAACAGGCCTCATATATCCTTCAGTACATATCTGTTTTGGTGCTATTTGATAGCTCAAAACACACAAAAAGCGGTGCAATCTGCTCAAATGGTGGCAACGCAGTGCCGTGGAGGGAGAGCAGCAGTTGGGTAGCCCTCGGTTTCGCGGGCTTCAGCTCTCAGCTTGCAAGTACCTCACCAAATATTCATATCAGATCGGTGCGACCACACCCACCCAGGCCACCTCAGCATCTTGTTCCGCCGGCTCCGGTACGTCACCCCTCTGCCCGCCGGGCCACAGTCTCGTACAGGGGCCGGCGCCCAGCGACCTACGGTGGGATCTGGCACGCCGCTGACGACCACGCCCTATAAGACAGCCACACTGCCCGGGCCGGGGTGCTCACTCCATGCACGTGACGCATGTCACAACAGGCGCAGTCAATCACCTCAGGACACACATGGGTGGGACCCAGCTGGAATCCAGGGTCACGGAAAACGCGCACCGATAATGCACCGGAAAAACAAAGGTGAGAGAGGACTCGCGCGTACCACACGGCCAGGCAGGACTCCGACTGAGCGCCGGTCGACGCCACCGGAACGCTGACTAAGCCACAGCCCAGAGCCGCCCGCCGGGACCGTTCTCATCGTCCTCCGGTGGCTGCTGCACCGACGCACGAGACCGGACAGGTCACGAATAAAATGTACCTTGGACGGACTCGAGAAACAAGAGCGGAGGTAATGTTGTTAATAAGGGACTATCCCTAATTGCACGGGTAACTATGTGCATGGATTTTTTCTAAGAAGACGGGGGTGTTGGTGCCACCAGATTTGATTATTGGAAAATGCACGCAAGCTGCAGCCGGAAGTTAGTCTGTCTTATTGGCTAGACTCATGGCTGATCCGACTGAAACATTCGTGATAACAAATGCTCTGAACAACACACACACGCGCGCACATACACACACACAAACACAGACATGCACACACACACACACACACACATACACACACACACACACACACACACACACACACACACACACATATATATATATATATATATATATATATATATATATATATATATTATAAATCCATAGCAGCAAATGCAAATGCAGCCCCGGGTGATCTGCTGCCTTCGAGTCAAGATTGGTGTTCAGTGCGGGCTTTTTGTAGCCCACAGAACGGCATGGCTGATTAGTCGCTGTCACACGGTCAACTCAATAGAAATCGATTCCTGTTAGTGGTCGTCATTGGCCATTTGTTAGCTATGACGTTCGCCGGCATTGGTGGTTCGTCGTCTGTCCCAGGAACCGCTACAATGTCAATGGCGTCTTAGAGATCTTGGGTAAGCCTTGCGTACGTGGCTGCCTATCACCTAGCTGTTGGATGAGATTTTGATTCATTCTGTGTATATTCCACATCATTTCATGAACAGCCAGTGAGCTTGAACTGTACATTCCTTGAATGCAAACGCGCTTTCCTTTCAGCCAACGAAGTTTCAAGCAGCTTTGTTGGCTCTTAGAAGAACAGGAAAACATCAATCATGATTATGTTTTCATACAAAACCCCATGGCCTTGTCCGTCCCGAGAGCTCAGTTGGTTAGAGCGCCTGCCTTCCGATCCACTTACCTGTAGCGGGGTTATTACAGGCGGGTTCGCGTCACTGCAGGTGCTCGCTATTTGGCTTTGATAGGTATGGCCTGCAGCCGGCGGCAGCGGCCGAGCTTAAGGCCAGGTAACGTCGGAGGGCAGGACGGACTGTGCCAGGCACTGCAGCATTAAGCTTCGCCACCAAATTCTGCCGTTGGCCAACCATTGCACCATAAGATGGCGGGAGGCAGTGCTCACAAGACAACCGTTGCTTAGCATGAGCTCTGATCCCAGAAATCCATCCACTGGAAAGGCTCGTATAAATTTTAAAAGGGAAGTCATGGGTCTCAAGTCCGTTATAGGCGCTCTTGAGAAATTTAGAGATTATGTAACTGCTCAGAAAACCAAACAGTTGCGAGAAAATCAAAGGATAACCGGGAATCCAGGTATTTTTTGGTTTAGCCTCCGGCGCAGACAGCAAACAAAAAACATTACCGAGAGGTGTGATCGTTTTGCATGTCTCGGTGTCTGCACCTTTCTGGCCGGCCAGTCAGGTCATTGCCCCGGGTGCTGTGTTCGGCCTCGGGGAATGGGCCGCCGGCCGCGCTAGCTTGCAACATGTGAGCAACATACAGTGGCGCTTTGGAGCAGTTGTTACGGTTGCCACTGGATCCAGCCCTATTTGCGCGTGTTTAAAAGCCACAAAAAAGGAAACTACACCCCCGGTGTCGAGCCATGACTTCTGCCGGACTTAGGATGCTCTGAAGGCATCCCGTCTGGCAGAAAACGGAAGGTTATTTAATAGCTCCCGAACAGCGCAGTAATAGCAAGGAGGAACGTCATGGCACAAATGGGGTGTACTGGATGCTGTTTGTATTTCGGGATCATTGCACCTCATTCCAAACATAAACACAAAATTGCCAGAGACGACAATAAAAACAGCAAAGTATATCTGCCACGAAAATATGGCATCCCCTACTTCTCCGACGAAGTTCCGCTCCCGTCCGTAGTGAGCGAGTCTGCCTAGCTCAACGGCTTAAACTCTGGCTTCATTTCTCAACCATCCAAAAATCATATATGGACGAAAGCTTCAGATGCCAATGTGGCATTTACCGTGACGGTTGTTTGTCGTGTTTGCATCACGAGTTATTGTGTAAAATTCAACAGGGTCAGATGTATGCATCTTGAATGCGCAGGTGGAGATTTGCATCTATTGAAGGGGCGGGGCTTCTCGTACATCCAACAGCACTCGTCTCAGTCACGTCATCACGCTTAACCTCGATCTAAAAACTCCGACTAAAAGCAAGGAGAGCAGTGGCTATTTATAACACAAGCTATCTGTAAATATGCAGTTGTCTTGCAACCCATGCATTGTGAACCTCCGTCCCTGTCTGCATGGCTTCACACATGCAAGTTGACGTGACTTGATGCGACAAATTGATGTGCACACACACACACAACACACACAACCCACACACACACACACACACACACACACACCACACACACACACACACACACACACACACACACACACACACACACCACACACACACACACAACACACACACCACCCACACACACACAACACACACACACACACACACACCACACACACACACACAACACACACACACACACACACACACACACACACACACACACACACACACACACACACACACACACACACACCCCCACCACACACACACACACACACACACACACAATACACACACACACACACACACAACACCACACACACACACACACACACACCACACACACCCACCACACACACACACACACACACACAAACCACACAACACACAAACATATACACTGGCGAAGGAAAATGTGGCTACAGCCGTCCTGAACGCTTGCAGTTCAAATGACGTCATTCTCAGAGGCGATGGCTCAGTGACGAAACATGAAGTAATCGTGAACAACACGAACGCAGTCGGAATCCTTCGCATGCGCGCGGAAGCGGTAGGTTTGAGATCCATGAGTCGGAGGGTAAGATAATAGACGAAAATAATAAAAACTATCTATTCACATTAGCACTTCATGCTATTCACATTTAGACGGTCCCGTGTGCAACCATTGCTTACTTTGCCGTTGTGTTATATGTGCTGATGAGTTATCTTTTAATGAATTGCTCCGTTGCTGTCAAAGTTGTGTGAGCTGACTGCATGTTTAATGACGTGAGAATGTGGTCGCATTATTGCTATCTTTTGATGTTGCATTCTAGCTACTATTGTGATTGTACCGAATCAAACAATAAGCTGTTTGTTAGAATGATTCGTGAATACACTGGACTGAACTGAGCTGAATGCGCTCCTTTGTCCCTGTCAGTATTGTTCTTTATGTTCCTCCCGCAAGCAAAGCAGAAACACTCATACAACGACCACGTCTGCATGGGCCAAAACCGAGTCACGTGATACGCAACACGAGTTGGCGCCTCCACGCGTCGACCGATGATATTGGTTCATGGTTTTGCCGAAAGATGTCGTTTGCTGTGTTCAGTGGCCGTTTCAAGGACCGAAGAACGCTAGTGTACCTTCAGCCGTCAGCCGTCAGGTTGGATGCACCTGATCGACAATCCTGCCCCTAACCCGTCTTACACTCAATGGCGCTTCGTGAATACTCCATTTAGCCGCCTCGGAAATACAAACTCAGGAGTGCCTAACCGCTCGGTTTTGCGGTGCGTTCGAACGGCTCGAGGATGACAGATTCAGATCTCAGGCAGAATCCGGCAGCAAAGTCTTCCCGATGACATGGTGATCGACTGCACACCCATGACGTCCACGTATACCACGTCATAACAAGCCATGACGAGCTGGAAGACCCACGATACGGCTCCACTTTGCCCAGACTGTCACTCGTCTGTCACACATACTGTGGGGCTGTCATCCGGTGCAAGAGGCGAAGCGGATGACTGGGCGCTCGATTTGCAGCGTAAAACCTGGGCTTAAATATCGTATAGCACCTGTCAATTAGTCCTGTCGCCGCAACCATCAAGGCAGTGTGCGACGCCAGCGATCCTGCTGGATACATACCTTTATAACTAATGAAGCGGCGCTTTTTGATGCCGCTATCTTTCCCCTCGGAGGCTTGCGGAATGCTTGTCCTAGTTTAACATGCACGACAGTTGATCGGACGCCCTTGATTTATTTTGAAATCAGACACCGCCGTCCTCCCCAAGCGACATAAGTCATCACGCGGTTATCATGTCAGCGTGGGTGCGATTTAGGCCCGTCGGAAGTAATCGTGTCAACACACTTGCTGTGCTCGTCAGCGGACCATTAACTTCCCCGACGAGCAGCCGTCCGAGCGGCTGTGCCCCGGGTCGCCCGCCGCCGTCCCCTGTAAATGCATGCATGAGGGGTGTCGGCGGGTCGGACGTCACCCAGAGCGCGCGAGCACGACCAATGCGGGGCGCAGACCCTGGTAACGCGGCCAAACACGAGCGGGCGGGTGCGCCGCGCGGGGAGGGGACCGGCACAGTCGGCATCCGCCGGGGGCAAGCACTGCGGGCTCAGCGCGGCGCCAGCGCGCCTGGGCCTGCAACCGGCATCGATTACGTACGGAGGCGATGCCGTCCGGTAGCCGGGACGACCGTAACAACAGGCGGCGGCGGCGGGCGCCGCGCCGCCCCTCCTGGACGCCGCCGCACATCACCGTGACGGACACGGACGCCGAGGAGGACTGGGCCGAGCCGGCCGGCCGCGGCGCGCGCGAGGACGAGCGGGACACGTACCGGCATTGGGAGGAGGAGGGCGATGGTGTGACGCGCATCGACGAGGAGCCGGGCGAGTTTGAGGAGGCGTGGGAGCACGCGCCGCCGCGGGAGGAAGCGCGGGAGGAACCGCCGGGCGAGGAGTGGGAGGACGTACACGAGAACGGCCGAACACCGCCGGAGGACGCTTCTGAGTGGAGGCCAGGGGAGGAAGAGGACGAAGACGAGATGCTGCTGCAGTCGGCCGTGCCGTACGCGGCGCACGGCAACAGCGACAACGAATGGGGCTTCGGCCACTCCCGCTCGGCCTCACGCATGGAGAGCGCCGACGAGGAGATTCCCGAGGAGCTGGACCAGCCGCGCCGCAAGCGTTACAGCAACGTGGCGCCGCGCGTGGACAGCCGGCGCAACAGCGTCAGCATCAGCCACACCAACAGCATGCAGGACCTGAGCCAGCGCGCCAGCCTCAGCCGTCGGAACAGCATCGCCGTGGAACGGCGCACGAGCCTGAACCTCAGCCCGCGGCCGAGCACGCCCGACGCCAGCACGCGCTCCAAGTCGCGCACGCCGTCGCGCTCTCGGGCGCAGTCCCGGCTGGCGCTGCGCAAGGACGACGCCGGCTATGAGACCGACTGGGAGAACGTCGGCAGCCGCTTCGCCGAGGCCGGCGAGAAGTGGCGCGCGCGCCGCGTCACCTTCTTCAAGAACGGCGACGCCTGGTTCCAGGGCCTGCAGATGCGGTTCGTACCGGGACGCGACTGCGCTTCGCTCGAGGTGCTCTGCAGCAAGATTTCCGAGCGACTTGGTGAGTTCAGTGACGCTGTATACCTCTACCAGGCCTATAACCATTGCTGTAACTATAACGTCACTATAACTGCCTACTCTGTGAGCATGCGTTTGTGTGTTGGCGAGGGGTTCTGTTGTTGGTGCCAATGTCTAGATATTTACAGTTAGCTGGGTTTATCCCCTCGTTCTTGTGTGCTGCTTTTCACCTTTTGACTGCTCCATCAATCCTGTCCCGTTTACCTAGGTGTGTGTTGATTTGTTCGCCTGTGTTGTTTAGTCATCTGGGGACGGTGTGCGTGGATTGTTTCATGTGGTTAAGAATGAGCTTAATCCAAGCTATCGTTGTTAGCATCGGGTGGTAATCAATCGTGAGTTTGCAGGTCGAGCTTGTCTTAAAAGCAACTGGCCAAACTTGCAGTTTTCAGGACCCCGACCTTTTCCGTTCAGCAACCACGCTTTGGGTGAAATGTGACGGAATTTTGGTTGCATCGCCGGACCGTTATCAGCAACAACTGCAAGAATTTTTGTAACTTTGTTCTCTAATGTCGTCAGAATATTTCCAGGCAAGCCGTCTGATACGGCGTTATTGCGATGTTCCAATATTACAATGCCGCCAGGATATGATCTTTTCCACTCGATGGAAGGGCTTGTCTCACTTTTTTATTGGGCTTTCAGTTGAGTTGGCAGATGGTTATGCATGGAATATTACCCATAACCATAGCATATGCGCATAATACTTTAATTCAATGTTCAGCTATTGGAATTTAATGCATCAATCTCTATAGTTCATTTCAAAGCATGGTCCCCGAAGGAAACGAAATCTTCGATGTGTTGAGGAATGACGACACCGGCGGCCAATGACTGGCCGCCAACCGCTGCTGCCGGTCGCTGGTTGGTTGCGGATACCGCAGCGCGCAGTATGACGCAACGGGACCGAAAGTTTTCTGTCGTAACATGCGGTGTTACCGCGCTTCCAGCAGCTTTTGACAAAGCAAATAGCTTTCTGATATCCATGATAGGTGAAACGTGTCCCTGAACCTTAAATGCAAACATTAGAACATCGTAAACAGCATAAGAAAATGGGCTGCACTTGGTTTTTGATCATGGTCACCCAGGCTCGCAACGAAACGAAACAAAAGCACTCAACGGCGAGAAAAACTGACAGTTGTACCGACAGTTGTACCGACAGTGTAGTCTATAGCGACACCAATGCTGGTCTCGCTACGGAACGACACTATTTGCGTTATGATATCGCTACGGGACGACCCCATTCGCGCAATGGTGTCGTTACGGGACGACACCATTGGTGCAATGGTGTCGGTACGGGAGAGCACCACTAGTGCAATGGTGTCGGCACGGAAGAACACCATTGGTGTCATTGTGTTGGTACTGGACGCCAGTGATGGTGTCGCTACGGGATGACATCATCGGTGCAATGGTGTCGGTACGGGAGAGCACCACTAGTGCAATGGTGTCGGTACGGGAGAACACCATTGGTGCCATTGTGTTGGTACTGGACGCCAGTGATGGTGTCGCTACGGGATGACATCATTGGTGCAATGGTGTCGCTGCAGGACGCCAGCGATGGTGTCGCTACGGGCTAGTCCTCAGCGTGGCCAATGCCACCTTTTGCAGCCTCGTCCCGAATGTCACACGTTGGGGGCCAAGCTGAGAGAGATTGGCCTGTGGCAATTATACTGGGTTGTAGCTCAAGTGATTTTGACCAATATCCAGCTAAGACATTTGCGTTTTTATCAATGCTCTGGTGCCAATCACCAACCAGTGGGTTGGCCAGAGCTATAATACTTTCAAGCAAAGCGATGTGGACATCTTGGTGCGAAGACTATAGATAAGCAAGCCTATTCTGACTTCTAAACTCACCACAGCATGTGTTCCAATGCACTTTTAGGGAATATTTGCTTACACAGATAGACAGTAGTATTAGTTTTATTCCTCGGAAAAACCAGAAGAATGGAGATATAGGTTTTGGTTTTTAATATAAGAGATTTGAGATTTGATGTTTGAGACATTTTATAGCTCCTGGTTTTTCCGAGGAGTAAGGATAATACTACTGTCTAATCTGTGTGACTAATGCTGCTCGCTAACGCGCCGAACAACTCACGGAATATTTCCTTACATTTTAAAAAGGTGACTCGCCTCATTTGCTTAGGTGTTGATATTATTTACGTGCTTGAAACACAAGTTTGTTGTCACTTCACTCCGCCAACGCAGGAAAAAGCGTTTTGCTGATTTCAATCTAACTGTGATATACTGTAGAAGCTGGTCAAAATGTGAATGCTTAACATGTTTATGCTAAAAAAGGTACTCCATATTCCGATGCATCAGGTATAAGACCAGAACAATCCAGACCACTATCAAGCGTAAGACAAGTACGACGGAACCACCATCAGGCGTAAGGCTAGGACGACGGAACCACCATCAGGCGTAAGGCTAGGGCGACGGAACCACCATCAGGCGTAAGACTAGGACGACGAAGCCACCATCAGGCGTAAGACCAGGGCGAAGGAACCACCATCAGGCATACGACTAGGACGACGGAACCACCATCAGGCCTAAGACTAGGACGAAGGAGCAACCATCAGGCGTAAGACTAGGACGACGGAACCACCATCAGGCCTAAGACTAGGACGACGGAACCACCATCAGGCGTAAGACTAGGGCGACGGAACCACCATCAGGCGTAAGGCTAGGACGACGGAACCACCATCAGGCGTAAGGCTAGGACGACGGAACCACCATCGGGCGTAAGGATAGGACGACGGAACCACCATCAGGCGTAAGACTAGGACGACGGAATCACCATCAGGCTTAAGGCTAGGACGACGGAACCACCATCAGGCGTAAGACTAGGACGACGGAGCAACCATCAGGCGTAAGACTAGGACGACGGAGCCACCATCAGGCCTAAGACTAGGACGACGGAACCACCATCAGGCGTAAGACTAGGCCGACGGATCAACCATCAGGCCTAAGACTAGGACGACGGAACCACCATCAGGCGTAAGACTAGGGCGACGGAACCACCATCAGGCGTAAGGCTAGGACGACGGAACCACCATCAGGCGTAAGACTAGGACGACGGAACCACCATCAGGCGTAAGACTAGGGCGACGGAACCACCATCAGGCGTAAGACTAGGACGACGGAACCACCATCGGGCGTAAGACTAGAACGACGAAACGGCCATCAGGCGTAAGACTAGTACGCATCGGCTGTAACATATCACCATGTCGTTTCCAAATGGGTTGCACAACCTGCGAGCTAACAAAGCTCGGTGGCTTGCAATGGCACCTAATCTCAAAATCTTCTTATCGCCTCTTCCACAAACACACCACCAAAGGCTCACCTTCATGGGTCACGAGCGAAGAGCAGGGTATAAAATTCATGGATGCTGTACGTTGGTACTGCGGTACCTACAGCCGGTATCACATCAGAAGCGGTAGTACGCTGAGCCTGTGACTTGGCGCGCCACCGCCGGAACTCCGTCGCAATCGGAACATGATAGCCTGTGTTGAATGGGTCGGTAGCTGGTAAATACCCGCGCCAGTATCACCTAAGCTCTGCTGACTCTGACTTGGCATCGACGCTTCCACGCAGGTGTCAGTACGGTGACGGTACCAGCTTTTTATATGCAAGAATTCGTGCATTATATGCATTATAGCGACGCCTCACTCGAGAAGATGTTAACAATACAACTTACAAAATTGGATAAGGTTCGGGCGTTTAAGATTCTGGGGTTGAAAATAATTGTTTGAAACAGCGCAATAAATTAACATGCAAGCATTTCAGTCGCAGACATACATGTTTGGGAACATCCAAGAATTTATGCCCCTCATGTAAACTTCGAGGTAAAAAACTAGGTCAAAGGAGGGAGAACTCGATATCACCGGAAAATTACCGGTGGATTGGCAAACTGCAAGCATCATAACCCTCACAAGCGCAAGAGCTAACGTCATTCAAAACGTCCTGACCTCTCAAGGTCACCCTTCGAGGTCAAGCGCGGGCTCAGAGGACGGCAAACATAATATTATCCCCAAAATACCGGCCGATTTAAGCTTGCAAACATCAAAATATTCAGCACAGAAAAACTAGCGTCCGTCAAAAAGTCCTGGCCTCTCAATGTCATCTTTCAAGGCCACACCCGGGTTCAAAGGACGAGGGAGTCAACATCCAACAAAAATTACCGGCCGATTTAAAATTTCTAAACATCAGAATATTCACCACAGTAAAACTAGCGTGTGTCAAAAAGTTCTGACCTATCAAGGTCATTTTTTCCAAGTCAAACTTTGGCTCAAAGGGCGGGAACTTGATGTCAACCAAAAATTGCTGCCTTATTTTAAACTTTAAAACAACAAAATATTCAAAAGTTTAAGGGCAATCGTCCGTCAAAACGTGCTGACCTCAAAGCCGATGGTGTAATCCCTCAAGGTCATCTTTTAGGGCCAAACCCAGGCTCAGAAGACGGATAATTCCATGTCACCCACAAATTACCGACCGTTTTTAAGCTTTGCGGAACCAGAATATTCGCTACAGAAAGGATTAGCGGCCATCAAAAAGTTTTGAACTCTCAGGGTCATATTTCAAGGTCATACGCGGGCTCAAAGAAAAGGTAACTCAGTATCTTCCAAATCTATCTACCGGCAGATTTTAAGCTTGCAAGCATCAGAATATTCAACACAGAAAGAGTGCATCCGTCAAACTAGCCCCCGTTTGCTGAGCCCACGTTTGGCCTTGAAGGGTGGCCTCGAGAGGTCAGGGCTTTTTGGCGAACGTTAGTTTTTTTCCGTGGTGAACATTCTGATGTTTGCAATTTATAAATGGGCCAGGAATTTTTGGGTGGTTTGGAGTTCCCCGTCCCTTGAGCCTGCGTTTGACCTTAAAGGGTGACGTTGAATGGTCAGGATTTTTTTGACGGACGCTGGATCTTTCTGTGGTGAATATTCTGACGTTTGCAAGCTCAAAATCGCCCCGTAATTTTGGGGTGATGTTAAATTCCCC